CGGAGGTGCGCTGCTATGGAGCAAGGCGAGACCTTTGTCAGTACTGCTGCCATTCCCAGTCAGACCCAGCCTCAGCAAAGGTGCAAAAGAACCCGTAATAAACCAGGGGTGAAATATTCTATGGGTAGCTTCAAATGCTGATGTGAAATACTGTTCTGTAGAGCCGTTTCACACTTCCTCATGGCCATTTCATGCTCTGTTATGCTTGTCAAAATCCAGAGTCTGGTATTTGTAGTCAAAGCTCTGCCTGTTTTCTCACTACAGACAAATCTTCACTACCCAAAACTTTTCTTAAGCTTATTAGAATATTAAACGTGCTTAAGAAAGACTGGTTGTTATCTCCATGGTTTTAGGACAAATCGTTATAAATATTTAGGTCTCTAAAGTCAGCAGTTGTCTCTAATGATGGGGACAGTTGCCATCTGTGACCCTGACTCCCAATAGGTTGAGGAGCAGTTTCCAGAAGCAGGCCACAGTGCTGACTGCATCTATTGTGGGCGAAATGGTGCTCTTTATAGGGTGCTGGACAGACACCCCCTTTCCAGCTGCAGTGGGTCAGAACAGCTTCTAATAGGAGCCTTTAACCAAAACAAATCCAGCTGCACTGGCTAGGGAAACCACACCATAGCCTGTGTCCCCTGGCTTGATTCTCAGGGAAACTGCTCCTTCAGGTGCCTTTGTGCAAAATGTAGTAACAGCAACATTTAGAAAACCCCTGCTCAACTGTCTCCCTATCCTCTGAACAACTCCACGGTCCAGCAGAAGAGCTCCCCTCCAGTCTACTCGCAGTTCCCTGCCTGAGAACATGATAAAACCAGAATTTACTGGACCTGCAAGCACAAAGAAAGGTAGAGGTGATTTTCCCCCTGTGAACCGATTCTCTCAATGTTTAGAGCATTTGCTTGGGATCAGGGTGCAGTAAGTCTCATCCTCCTGTATCTGACCTATTCCAAAGTGAGGCTTTCCTGGTGATACCACTCAAACACTCACTGACCCGGACAGAAAGTGATTTGAGATGCTTCCATCCTCACTCCAATGAATGTTCAATGTCTCTTCAGTATTTCCTGTTGGTCAGTTTGTGCAGCACTTCCCTCATGTCACTGGAGGTTTCTTGCTTATGTCCCGGTTCCTGGGCATGCCTTTTACTAGAGAACTTAAGCACCTGCCTCAAGGCTGTGAATTCCAGTTAAGCTGAGACATCCAAGGTTTAGCTGTCAACTGTCGCTACATCACTTAAGTTTCTCACGCACATGCAATGTCAGCAGCGCATCAGGTGGTTCAGGATCCCAGCTACAATCATTCAGACTTCTCCCATGGCCTGTAACTGATCCAAAGCTACCTAACAAAGCTCAAGTTCTTCCTAAGTCCCACCTGGATCTGTGCTGTAAATAGATGAGAACATATTCCTGTTGTATCATTCCCTTGAACTTGGTTATAGCTGTAGCCTTATAACTGAAGGCAGGGAGGAAGACTTCTTCCTCAATTTATACATCCCTGAGACTGCTGTAAGTTTATTATGGCAATAACCAGAGATCTCATATCTCACTTTTTATGTTCCCATATTGAAATTTCTTAGTATCGTCTTTACAGTGGGGATGCATTCCCTCTCTGTATATAAATCCTAAAACTAAATTAGGGAAGAGCCCATATTGGTACAGATGTAGAGTTTTCTTGTAATTTCTTAAATGTAAATGAGTAAGACCTTACTTTTGGAGAGGAGGTGAGTTCACAGGTATTCTGTGACTAGACCACAGTACAATCAGGCTTCCAAACTTTTTCAGCAACATAATAGCCAACTTCATAATATATTACAGATTATAGCACATGACACTATAATTAACATCATAGTCAATAACTATTTATAATTAAATAGGCATGAGAGAGGAGAATCCTAGGTGTGGGATGTCACTCTGTGTGCTGCTGTTATAAAAAAAAGTGCAGTCTGATGGTACAGTGGTGAGAGCTGCTGGGGAAGAAAAGTTTGGAGGTAACCGGGCTAGAGAGCTGACCTCCTGCCGGTGGCTTGCCGGAGCTCTGTTACATCCGAGCTTTGCATCTGGCCTGTGGCGTCATTGTGTGTCCATTTCTTCTATGCTGTGCCTAGCTTTTTTGTATGAGAAAAGCTTTGCTACTGCTCTCCTCTACTAAGGCGCATGGTTTGTGTAGATGGAAGTCATACTAAATAAATACAGATTATTTGTACTTGGTGAAGTAGCTAAAATGAAATCTCTATTAACTAGAGCTCTCTAGTGGTCTACAGTCCTTCTGGGGATTCCTACTTGTAAATAACTGGAAAACAAACTATACAAAAATAAACCAAAAGATCTACCTCCTGATGACAGATTACTCTTACTTAGATATCCCAGAGTGCCTCTTACCCTGGATATGTGTAAGCTGTGGATTTGATGTGCAACTAATTAGCTGTGCATTTGGCCAGCCAAGAGCATGTGTGTGCGTGTGCACACGCATGCACAGGGATTTGAGAGTGTGCTCTGAAATGTGGGAAAATGAAGGGAGCTTTCTTTCATTCACTCCTTTGCTCCCAGGCAGGAAGTCAGGCTTTTGGATTGTTGTATATTTCTGCAATAACTCAGTAGTAATAATAGGCTAAATCAATCTGATATGTCTGTGTTTTTTACAGCACCCAATAAATATTCCCACCTAACTCTCTGAAGATTTATTTTTTTTTCTGAAAGCTGCAGGACAAGAGAAGAAAGTACTCCTCTATTTTCAGTGACCTCTAAGAATCTCTATTTTGGGAAGGGTCTGCTTGAAACAATGATTGATACTAGAGATAATACGTGTTTGATTTGCCCTAGGAGCAGGAAATCCTTTTTAAAGCCCAGTTCCTAGAGGATGTCTGGCTTAAAGTGCATGAATAGCTTCTTCTGGTATGCAAAGAATTACCTGTATGTATATAAAGCATGACTTGGTACCATGTTGAATCAGGATCTTACTTTCCTAGGAAGCAATTTTAGCCAAGAGCATTTTACTTCATATCCAGGCATACTTACGTGAATACTTCCATCCCCCATCCTGCAACAGCTGTGAAGAGCCTTGGGCCTAGATCTCTGGCCGGGTTCATGGCACAGCCACTGTTCATTCCCAAAGAGCAAGTAAGAACAATTATAAGAAGTCCTACTGCAATTGGCTCCAAGCCCTTTGGTACGCTGTTATTTCTGGTGTCAAAAATAGCAAATATAGCCAGAAGAAGAACTGCTGTTGACATCACCTGGCCAATGCAAAGGAAAGAATATTGAATAAATATGTGCAGATTCCTTCCAATAATAAAAAGAGGGGCCATGGCAGCTCTGTGGATTGTGGTGGCTTAGAGCTGGTATTTAGATTTATCCCACTATACAGAGTAGTAAAATTTGGAACCCAGTGCCTCTCTACTTCACAGTAATGGGAAGTTTTGATACCTGTGCTGAAAGAAAAAGACAAAAAATGTGCTGAGGACACTTGAGGAAAAAAAACTGCAACAACCTAGTGTGGAAAAAATAGAGGATTTAAAAGGCATCTCCTGTGTGAGGTCTGATGCTTTGTTTCCACATTTTTTCCTATCAATTTAACAGTTCCATTTAATTGATTTTTGGTAGTTCTGCTATGCCAATACAATCAGTTACATTGATATAAAAGTGTTTTATGTGACTGTAGCTTACACTGAAAAATTAGGCTAAATACGCACCTCTTTATCCAGGTATTGCATAATGTAAGAAAAAAAGTGAAGTCTACAAAGTCAAAACTGAGCAGCTAAAAAATTAGCAATTACCTAAATTAAGATTGTACCTGTAACTGTAACGTGAACTCTGTATTGCATATGCTAATTAAGCTGATGAAGGAAATTTTCTTGGAATTACTTTGATGGAAGTGCTGCTCTGCTTAAATCAAATGCTTTGTAAATGTTGATTTCGCTAATAATTAACTTAGGGGAAAAACAGACAAAAGTTTCAGCGATGTCAAAACATTCAATTTCTATACCGATTTAAAGAAGTTTAAGTTTGGGGGGTTTAAAAATTATTTTTATTTCATCTGGCTTTAATTTTGTTTTAAAATATCCATGGGCAAAAAGATCTTATGGAAAAGTCTGTTGACTGATCCAAAGCAAAAATCAGAATTGTCTTTCTTACAAAATTTCAAAACAATGTTCGGATATTTTGAAGTCAGATTTCACAATCTTCAAGTCCTTTATGTAAGGAATTCCTCTGCTCCCGCAATCCCTAGTTTTTTATAGCTTACTTACACAGTATATTTATTTCATCTATGCCTGAAGAAGACAGGTAAATTGATTAGAAGTAGATAGAAGATATGAAACTTCATTTTTAACTGTTGGATAAGTGGGATTAGAGGATACAGATTGGAAATGAAGTGGAGATTTTTTCAGATTCAGTCATTTGCAAAATAACAAATATTACAAATCTATTTGCAAAGAGAAGTTTAGAGAGGAGGCTTATGGTAGCAGAAAACTCAGTTGTTCAAGGTGTGTTAATCTGGCTTCTTATGCATTACTTAAGAAATAATAGGTCCACAAAATGGGCTGGATTTTTATGTAAATGGACATAGCTCTACTGAACTTTATGAAGAAACACTGATTTGTGCTGGGGCACACCTCTTACATATATTGCATTAAAGACATGTAGAGTGCAACAATTAATATGATGTATGTGGAAAGAACAACTTGAAATTATCTTGCTTTTAAAATACGACTCAAACGTAACCCCCACAAACAGCATTGCATCCTCACTGCTATTGTACACAGTGATGTATCACCAAAACGGTGAGGTTCATCGTACCCATTGGAGATCTATGTATTTTTTTAACGCTTGGTTTTACAGTTTTCTGTATGTTTAATTTGTAGAATCAAGACAGCAAGTGCACTTACCTGATCTGCAAATCCATTTATGAGGGACAGATACGGAGCTGGATATGTTGCAAAGATATGTGCTGTTGCATTAGGTCCTGTGACTTCAAGTGTTCCATTGCTATACTCCATAAAGGCATCTATAGAAACCAGCCATTACCTGGTTGCACTTCTTCATAAACACTAGGTTTTCCAGGACTAGAATATATGTGATAGGTCTGTGCACTTCACATTCTCAACTGAAACTGATCGTTTTTTCTGGGAGCATAGTCAATGGATTTGAGGTGATGTACTAATTACAGCCTCCTGCCTCATCTCTTCTTCTGTGCCTTGAAGTACTTGTTTTATGTATCACAGCTTTCAAAATGGGGCTGTTTTTTTCCCCTGCTCATTGCTCCAAACTCAGTGCCAGGGAGCATTTTCTGATTCTGAACACAGCTGCATTATTCTGTAAGAGGTGCTATATTTGGCATGATGCCCCGCAAAATACATAGCATCCTGGTTGTACTGTTGTGGATTCCAGCCACCAGGAATTACTGCTATTCCATGTGACAGATGTGCAATGACTTCTCTGGGAATTACCTCTCCTGAGAGACCTCCTCTTCTAAAGGAGTTTGAATTTTTCACTCTTCTTGGGCTTTACACCCAACTGCTATGCTAGTCATCCAAGATGTGAGGGGAGAGGCTAGCCCCAAAACTTCAGTTCTTAGTATATTTAAGTTAGTGTATTTTTATATATAGTAAAGATTTATGTATATTGTAAATACATGTATATTTATGTTAGTATATTTAAAGAGTATTTTAAATAGCATAATATGACTTCTGTGTTGGAATAGTTTGCTGCCTTGGCAAGCCCTTAAGTGTTAGAAATAGAAAGATACTAAGATGAAGCACTCAAAAATCTGCATGGACAGACGTGAATAACAAATGCTATGCCTTTATTTCACTAGTGGACCTAGTGATGAGATGATACTTGTGAGTAAAGAAACAGCTCCCCATCTCCCATGGAAGTCATGGTGCGGATGGTCAGCTTCTGCTGAAGCTAGCAGACAAATCTATTTCTCCTTGCCTCTGTTTTTTCTAGCTTTGCTTAAGGCCATGACATGGGTGCAGAGAATATTTAGTTGTTTACTTTGGTCAGGCTCTCTCATTTGCAGTGTCAGATTATTTTGTTGCATTTAACTATTAGAAAAAAAAAGGATAAGGAAAAGAAAATTTCTCAGCTCTGAATTACTTTGTACACCTTTAGAAAGGCCTCATGTTCAGCAGCCTAGCATATATATTCCCTCACTCTTTCAGGGGTATCGCTGAAAATGAAAGCACCTAGCTCAGATAGGTGTGTATGGGGTAGATGGAGGTGTTGAGCTCATATGTCTGTTTTTCTTCCAGTGAGTTTTCAGTGGACCTCAATGAGTACAGGACACTCCTGCAAGTTGCAGGAAGGAAAAAGTACAGAGGAGGTTTGGGAATTAATAAGAATAAGAGGTTCTTATTAATTCAACAAAAGTACTTGAGCAGCGATAGGAATGTGAGAAAATCCTGCACTCCTGAATAGCAGGAAGAAGTCTCTAACCCTAACCCTAGCCCTAAGTTACCTATCTTGGCTCTCTATCCTACTGCTACCCTTTAGCAGAACACAGTGAATCCACCCCCAACCCCATGTGCATGTTGACATACTGCTGCATCCTGGCCACAGCCCTAATCCTGGCTGGCTGGCTTGAGGAGGACTTAGATTCACATGGAAATCCCGTTCTGGAATCCCACAGTTTCCAAATTCTAACACTAACCTTAAAACAAACAGACAACTCTCCCTCGTCCCCCCCACCCCAAAATCCAAAGGAACAAACAAAAAAACCCCCACCAAACCCAAAACAGTTACCACAGTTCCTAAAGATTTTTCTGTTCATGATTACTATTGGTACTGAGCACCTAGCTGATATACAATGGGCATTTCCATTTTCATTTTTCCTCTGTTGCACCTAGACCCAGCGCTGTCTGGAGACATAACGCCCATAAGGGAGAGGCTTTGGAGGAGATGGGCTGGGGCAGTAGAAACAGAGTTTTGCAGTAGGTGATTGAAGCAAGTGATCCGACTGAGTGGATTCATCAAGTCAGGGAGTCTGTTACTAAGTTTTTTCCCTTTGTGGCACACCCTCTAAAAGAAATATGCCTCAAGCATAGGGGTAATTTTTTTTTTTTCCCCCCCCTTCTAACATGTGACCCCTTTATCACTCTACCTGGAGTTCATTGCCTTAGAGAGGTATCTCTCCAAGGGTGGTCTGAAGTTTAGTCAAGAGGGACTTGATCTCATATCCTGTAACCTCAATGAACGACGTTGGTGATACTTGCCTACGGGCACTTGGATCAGGTCTTTAATGTTTCTAATTTGCTTGGAAGATGAATAGCCCTATATCCTGGCTATTAAGTAATTTAAAATCCTTACTGAGAAATACATGATCTCAGAGTATCTGATTTCCCATGAATAATTTTTCTAAATTTCAGAACATTTCCTGGAATATTAGTGTTTCAGAAAAGTTGTAGGATACCTGGAATGTTTGAGTCTTTTTTTTTTGCCTTCAAACTCTTTATGCTGCTTCTTTTCTTCTTTATGGCTTTAGCTTCAGTCCTGCCATTAGCCCTGTGTGAACAAAGTCCTCTGCCTGCTTGGCATTCATTGAAAAATCGGGGCCTTAGAGACTGCCTGACCTCTGGTTTGTCCTGTGAGCATGTCTAAGGTGTACTCACCATAATAAATCCCAAAGACAGCTGCTGCTCCAACAAATGCTCCTAGGAGTTGTGCTAATATGTAAATTGGTAATTTGGTCCATTTTAATCTTCCAGTCACGCACATGGCTAATGAAACGGCTGGGTTTATGTGACCACCTGAAAAATAAATCACAAAGTAAGTCATATGGATGACACAGATACATGAGAATAGGTAAAGGATTTGTAAAAATGTGGGCACTTTCAAGCACAAGACTAGTACGTGCTTTTCTAGATGTTATTTTGCAATTAAATGCTGACTGCAATTAAATGCTGACTGCAATTAAAGTGAAACAAGTTGGATGAAATTGGAGGGGAGGGGGCGGGGAAGCCAGTATCCAAGATCCAGTTTCCCTCTTGGTGTTTGCAGGCTGTGTTGTTTATCAGACTGCTGTCCTGCAGCATATAATCTATAGATCTACACACAACTTTTCTAGAAAAAGCCTAATCCTGCCCTATCAGTTGTGATGGGAGGGTCCATCATTCTGCACATATTCTTTCTCTTCAAGGGCTTTGGCTTTTTATTTTTAAGGGAGAACTGAACATTCATTCAGTTTTGCAAGCATGTATTAACATTAAAGACTATTACTGGCTTGATCATGTATCTTGAGGCAGATCTGGAGTACCCTGGATTTAAGTCATGTTTATGTCCCTGTCTTCAACCTGGGGTTACTTAGAAACTCAGTTTTCATGAACATAAAATAAAATAATATTAGGGCTGTCCAGCTTCATGTTGACTGTTGGTAGCTATGCCTAGATGGGATGTGGGGACAGCCGTGTGTAGTTCTTCATCACACATTTTCATCAAGCTCCTACACCCTCCAGAAAGGTCCATGATAAGGAGGCTGATAAAGTAGCTGTGCTGAAACAGAGAGTTCTACTTCCTGTGGAATTTCCTTCCTTTGTATTTAGGAGTAGCTACACCTAAACTCACACATGGAAAAGATTTCAGCAACCTTGGAATTCTTTGTGACAATTTTAGTTTCTAAAATATATTTATTATGTCACATGCTAGTCACTTCCCTCAACATCTTTTATCAACATGGAAAAAAAGTGTTGAATGCTTTTGGAAAACTTCATTTTTACAAATATGTAGATGATACCTAAGAAATACAAATTGCCAAATAAATAAACAGATGAAACAGTACTCCACAGTAAAAATACAGTAAAACCCAAGTTTTGCAAGGACGTAGCAGATCCATGGCTTACCTTCCAGCTAAAGTCTCATTTCAGCCTGTATGGTTATCAGAAAAAAGTGGCCTTTGTCTTTAATAAAATAACTAAAAGAGCGTGACCTTTGTCTGTCAAAGGCTAGTGATGGAGAAAGGGCCTCTATGTACAGTTTCTGTGTTTGCTTGCACTTCAGGTCAGTGAGTCATTATCTTACGAAATCCAGGCACCTTTGATACATAATGAACTGACAAACACAGATAACAAGCTGGATAAAACCTTCTTTATATCATTTCCAAAACTCTGACCTAGTAGCACCAGTCTTGAATTAATTTTGAATTCCTCACTGTGTTTCAAATTCTTCAGCACAGAGCAAATAGATGGATGGCACCTTATTTAACAGCCCTTCATGTGAATTTTGATAAATTGTTGTCTTGTCTTTTGTTCTTTACTCTGGCTGGAATGAATAATTTTCCTTTCTTTCAACACCTGATATCGTTCCCCACCTGTATATAATACAGGGTGATTATGATGGCCAGGACAAGTCATAATAATATTAGAGATGTCTGATTAACATTAAATCTGAAAAGGAAAAGTCTAGTTAAAGGCTCTCAAGCTGACATAGGGGAGTTAAAAGATTCTTGGTTCCTGTGCCACTGGTAGTTTTCTGGTTTTCCAAAAAAAAAAAAAAAAAAAAAAAGACCGCTTTGGACAGTGTGTTCCCCATTCTTTTGTAGTTGCAGTGATCACAGTCATGAGTTTGTTTGAAATGTTAAGTCGAAAAAAATGGTGGGACATTACCTAGACATTGAGGAAAATTAGATGGAGGAAAGGCAAAAGGGGAATTTTCCTTGATAAAAGAGCTTAAATTCACCAAGTGTGCAGACTATATATTTTATGTTACCATGAATTTAGAATTTCATTAAGAACTGATGCAAAACATTTTAGCAGTGCTTAAACATGAGACTTCATGGCCAAAGAGCCACAGAAATTGTTAACAAATTCTCTATAGGAACTGATATTCTAAAGTGTCCACTAGTAATCCTATGTTGGATAGTCACAGCCTATTGAAATATCTGTTCCTATTCTTTCACAGAGAAAATGCACTGCATGCAGAATCTTTTGTCATGGGAAAAAAACAGGAAGCACAATACTGCAACATCTGCAACTGCTCTGCCCTGCTGGGATTGAACTCTAATCTTCTATACAATAGAGATGAATATCCCTTAAAGATGAAAATGTAAGACAGGTTAGTGTCTTTACAGGTTTTTTTTAATGATACTGCATTAAAAGAGTTTACATGCCTACATGTAAACCAAAAGCTGTAGTTTAAAGTTGTTCAGATAATAGGAATGTACTGCTGAATTAACTTTGTGTGGTATTACGGAACCATTCTGCTCTGTTTCAATGACAGTAATAACATTGCCTGTTTTGCAGTACCTTGAGCGCTTTCTAATGTGAACTTAGAAACCGCTTCATGCATGGTGTCTCTGTAAAAGAATTTATAAAAGAGAAGAGAAATGGCCACAGTAATTTCTGCTATAGCAACTATTTATAATGGCCTAGTTTTACCTAGAGATATCTGCCTCTATGAGAATTGGAGTACAAGGGCACCATTTGCTTTAAGAGGGCAATACAAACTCCACATACAACACAGAGTATTGTGTATTATAATACACAACACTGTGTATTGTTACAAACCATCATTTTCTATTTTAAAGGGAGAATATAAATGTTAAAAGCAGTTATGCTAATGTTTCTGATATTAATTTGACCAAACTGCATGGTGGAAATAGGAGACAAAGCACTATCTAATATGGCACATGTAGACACTGATTAGTTAACCCAGCTACAGACAAAAGAGAGATTCCTGATCAATATATATCGAGGAAATGTTATAGCAGAAACAAAGGGGCAATGACAGTACATTGACAGTGTATCACAGAATGTACCTCTAGTACTGAATCTTTTTGCTGTTTCTGCTTTATATGATCTGCTGCTTCTGCGAATAAGCAAACAGACAGGAGCAGACTTGCTACTGCCTGTCATAGGACACGAAGAGATAAACTGCACTCTGTAAGGGGAACTCTGCTCATTACACCCATTAGTGGGTGACTGCTGGATTCTGTAAGCTTTTCATGGTTATTTCATTAAATGCAGTGCCTATGCTGTCCAGGATCATCTCTATTGACAGAATTTTCAAAGCAAGACCAAGCAGATTTCTGGCTTGCGCAGACCACTTTCCATAAAGGCCAGAGGTCTGCCAAGGTTTGCACACTGTAGTTCAGGTCAGATTTTGGTGGAAAATTTTGTCAAATGCAAAGAATAGAAGGAAACAAGAAGAACACAAAAGATTTACTAGCGAAAATCTGATGCAGACTCTGCTGTAATGGTGCTTGCTATTGCTAGATACATAATTGTTTACACCATGAAATGAAGTAACTTAATAAGGTAGCCTTAAAACCATGGCAATAAATGCTATATAAGAAAAAAAAAAAAAGTCACTTACCAGAAACGCCCCCAGACACATACACTGCTATGGTGACTGCCATTGCAAATCCAACCGATACTGTCATGGGCCCACCATGGGCTCCTCGGCTAAGGACAGCCTGTCCCACACACCCACATCCAAGTGCCTGTATTTTAAAAGAGAAATGTAAAACCACGAGTATATCTGTCAAATGTTATTGGTTAGTTTGCAACTCCTGCTGCTGTCCAGGTATAGCTAAAGATGTTGTTAATATTGAAACAATGCTAGAATTTTAGATTAGTGGCATGCGTACCATTGTTGCCTTTGCTGCATTGAAAATTTGCTCTTTATTTTCCCCTGCTCTGTGACCAGGAAGAATGTCTGCTAATAAGGACCTCTCTCTCCCCAGAAAACAGTTTTCAAGTACAATGATGGGATACAGATCAGAAACTTGGAGCCTAAACATGATCTCAGAGTCTCTACAACAAATCTCTGCATCTGAAAGTGAAGAGGGAATTAATTCTGTGTGGTAAGTTTTCAGTTCCAGACTGTTGTTACAAGCAATGAAAAAATTACTATAAAAGTTATGAAAGATAGTTCAAAAAGCTTTTAATGTTTAATGCTGAAACTCTGGAATGAGACAACTTACTGGAGATTGTAGTGTCTGTTACTGTTATGCTGCCTTGATATCATTTATTGCTCTATGAAAATATTTCACTGACTCTGCAGCTTAAACAATTAACTGAAGTGGGGATACCTGAATAGTTTACATTGGAGTATTCTCAATGGATTTAAACTATCTTCCATTTTATGTTCGTTCCCCTCAGAATGAAGTTCAGCAACACATTTAAATGTATGCTTAAGATCATGTTTATTCAGTTCTAAAGCTTCTGCTCACTTCAAGCATACGTTTAGGTCCAACTAAAGTTGGTAGGAAAGATTTTCAAAGGTACAAAAGGCCTTTAGTTTAAGATAGACTAGCTGACCTGTTTCTGCCAGAAATCAATTTGTGTCTTTGAAAATCTCCTTTTTAAATATATGCCTAAGTGTTTTATTGAATAAGGACCCAACACCCTATGGAAGATATCAAATAATATCTATAGGTTGAAAACTTTTGCTTCTCAGCAACTGTAAGTGATCTGAATCATACCATTTCTGGGATGTGACTAGATTTATCTTGAGCAACCTTAATTACTTTGATGTTAAATTGTTTTTTTTTTAAATATATATATATATATGTTCCTCCTTTGATGGTACATGGGAATCTGATTTTTTTTCTTCTTCTTCTTCTTCTAAAATCATTCTATCTTAGCCAATGCAGTTGCTTTGGTTAATCCCCTTGCTTTGCTTTAGTGTTCTGCAATTGCTGTGTGTCACCAATGACTGTATTGCAAACATTCTTCCTAACTATGCATATTTGAATACATAAAATTTAGTTCTTTTAGAAAAGCTTATTTTCAGTTGCAAGGCAGTTGCATTCAGAAATTGCCAAATAACAGGAAAATCTCTCCTGCCTTAGAAATAGACTGTACCAAAAAGATTTGGTGATTGAGGTTTAACAAGCAAGTCCTGCTAGAATAGATGTAATTTAAACAGGCAAAATCATAGTTTTGTTTCCATTATTTCCCCAAGGGTTTTAACTAATACCAAAATGTGACAGAAAAGCTCTCGATAAAATTACGCTTTTAAGCACCTTTGCAATGCAGACGGAGTTTCTGTTATAAAAGTGTCCGGAGACTGTGTCTTATACCCAGGTGCAGTTCTTGCCTTGAGGTTATAATCATGCAAGCAAACAAAACACTGCCTGGTGCCAAAGTGTTACAGCTGTCAGATGACGTAAGGGTAGGGTGGTATTAGATAGCAGTAGTTTATTGGACTGTATAATTGAAAGTTACAAGGCATATTCCAAGCTGCAGTCAACTGCTGTGCAATGGATGACGTATGCTTACATTAGGCATTCTCTCATTGCTGTTAGTATCATACACCTAGCAATTCAAATGGTTAAGCACAAATGCACATACAGATACAAAACCAAAACAAAATACATTTTAGTTGTTCGCAGCTGAAATTACATGTTTTTTTAAAACTTCATGTGAGACAAATCTACTCATCGTGTATTTATATGTTTAATATGGAAAGAATGGGTACACTGGAATTTATAAAGTCTAAGATTAGGGCACAAGTCTAGAGGAGGTGGAATTAGCATGCTCTAGCCTTCATTTTCCAGTCTTCTCAAAGGGAGCATTCCAGAAATTGCACCAAGCAAGATTTAGTGAAAGACATGGCTCAGACGTGGAGCAAGTTCAGTAGGCTGGTCTGGGGCCCTGTGTACACTGGGGTGCAGTTTGCATTCAGGCAAGCAGCTACATCTACAGGTATGCACTTGTGTTCTGAAATGGCATAGACAAAGTTTTGCAGATTGGAGAGAAGGTAATTGTTTTGAAAATATTACCCCTTTCTGTAAGGACGATGAAAAAAGAGAACAGGAGTGGGGGAGATGGGTATAGAAAAGGATAAGGGATAGTAGCCACATCTGTATATATCAACTACAAATTCACAAGAAGAGGGAAGGAAATAACAGAGGGAGGCTGTGGCCTCCCTTCCCTGATTACCAGAACTGAGGAGAATCATACAGAAAGAGCTGCGTAGTCCTCTTGCATAATAGCTTCTGCTCTGCATGTCATAGGGAAATATGCAACCCCAGATGCTCCATTTTTGTGCTAACCAGTCTCAGAAAACTGAATCTACAAACAAGAAGGCATCCAACACAGCTTGAACACAGCTGCACTGGCTTCTTGCTCGGTGGACACTGGTAAATGACTGCCTGCTCATGTACGATGAATGAACACTACTGTAGGCACAGTCAGTGTGTGCCCATTCTGGGATGGGGAAACTGGGAACTGAACCTGCAAATCTGAACCATGTTACGGTAGTATTTTCTCCATCTGCTGTCATTTTAAGAAGGAGAGAAAAAAATTTTCTCATACCTGCTGTAGCTAGGTTGACATAACTGGAAACTATCACCTAATCATGTAATTACATGAGCAGCAATTTAATACCCTGTGAATCTTTGCTTGGCTGAGTTAAGACCAACTAGATCATCAAGTTGTAACTAAATATTCTATGTTTCTAGGCCAAGCTCAGCCATCAGCTGCACCCACACAAACTCACTGATTAAAGCACATGGAGTTGATGGGAGTTTAATTTACAGTAGAATATAGCCAGATCTCTTTATCTTATCTTGTCCGGGTTTTCATCTTAGCAGTTGTCTATAGCCTGATCTGCTTAAATTGACTGGAGCAGCTTCATTACTGACTTTTTATTCACAAAGTAATTAAATTACTGTCATAAGTAACATGTTTGGGTGTGGAATAGCTGTCTGCATGTTCTCTGCCAAAAAACTTGCTTCATAGACATTAGATGCTTTTCTTTGTCTTGGATAACAAGGCTAATGTTAGGAAAGGAAAACAACTGGCCTCCAGTGAGGATAAGTTACTGTTACCCCCTGGAAGCTTGCAGAACTTTATCTCTATCCTACTCATCAGAGAGACTAAAGATCATTTTGCCTCCATCTGTGCTATTTTCAGGATTATTGCAAAGGCTTGTAATAGCATTTTCAGTATAAATAGGATTTCCTGCAAGATCTGAATCCAGAATTTTAGGGAATCTATTTTTCTACATGGCCTGTAAAGCTTTAGACATCTTAAAGCAGAATGCCTATATAAAAAAGCCCCTTCTTATTGAACAGATCTAGTGGTAGTGTGCATTCATAGCCTTACACTCTTACTGTAACATTGAAGAAGCAGCCAAGTCTCCTGCTTTTTAGCAGCGTGGAGACAATGACATGTGTCTTGTTATATGTCATACATCACCAGCTGCCAAGCTGTGGTGAGTTACATACCTACAGTGGGGTACCTGCAGGCAGAGCATGGCCTCAATGGCCACACAACTGATGATGCTCTACACGAATACAAGAATTCAGCGTGCTACAAGGAATACAGAGTCAGCAGTTACAAAAAAATCATATTTTAACTATCAGCTGTACACTTTCAATCAGGAAACACCAGAAAAAGAGTTCAGAATTTCTATTTTAGTCAGTTTTCAGGACAGAACTGTACTTAAGCAACCACAGCTAATTATAAAGAATCTACAAGGATCCCTCCACCAATTCACAGTTTTCAGTAAGGATGCCTTTGTTCAGGGAAGGCAGCAACCCTGTCCCTTTCCCATGCCACACTCCCACCTATATTCTGTTCCCCAGACAGGCATTTCCTGCCAGCCCGCGACTTGTCTGCTCCCCTTTTTCAGACTGGAGAGACCTGCAGTACCGCTCTGGATTCTGCTGCATGTGCGTATGTTCCTGTGCAGTGCTGTGAAGGGGACGGGCTCTCAGGGGCAGTGCAGTGTGTTAGCCTCAAGCTGTGTGCTTGCGGTGAGTGTTCTTCTGCCATCCTAAAGTTACCCATTCCAAATCTGCGGAAGCAGAGCGGTATTGCTGGGAGACTTGAGGACATGAAAGCAAGCCCTGGTATTTCACTTCTTAGAGAAACCTCCATGACTTCTCCAAACAGCCAGACTTATCACCGCATATTTAGGCCCTTAAAAGCAGGGATACAGGCAGGAAGAGTCAGAGAGTCCTTTGGGGGTTGGGAGAAGTGGTTGCATTTGCCCTTCACTGCAGGTTAGGGATCTCATTGACCAAAATTGCCCATGAAAACATTAGAGGGTTGTTTGTGGTTTTCTGTAGTCTTGTATGGTTCCTCCTGCCCCCATTAGTATTTCCATATACTGTTGGTTTGGGTGTTGCTTATAAAATTAGTAAATAAACTTTTCAGATAAGAGGCTGATTACTAAATTGATGGTGGCCTTGTAAAGGTCTTTAATTTGGAGTGTATTTTAGAACTCATTTCATTTTCAAACTCTTTATTTACAAAGCAAGTCTGCTTAAGAATTTACCTGTTGCATTTCATAAGAAGGTCTTTTATAATGGATTAGAAACTCTTTCCATACAGAGTCATATTTTTGCTATGTTTGTGTATTATGTAGGGCCTTACTTCAGACTGGGCTCCTAAGCATTCTTTCAATAGGGACGATAATGCTAACAGCAATAAAAATAGAGAGACATTAGATCTACTAAAATTCAGGGCATTAGCTCTGCAAGAATTC